ATAGATTTATTAATATAATTCTTATTTATAATATTTCAATATAATATTTAGATTTTTAGATTTTCTAAAAATCGAAAACTCAATAGAAAAAATAATTAAGAAGTCCAAGAGTAATATAATAGATATGCTTTATTTTTAATTATATATAGTTTTTTTTTAGCGAATTGTTTTTTTTTCAATCGCATTACCTGACGCATTTTGGGCCTAACTAGGGCTTTACTTTACGTAAGGTAATGTGCTAGTTAGGTCAAGAGAAGTTTGTATGAGGTGAAAATTACATGGCTACAACAACTTTGCCGATTTTATAAATAATAGTATTTAGCAAATGAGTGGTATACTCGTACAGTATCGAATATACACTCTTTTCGCTAGGTAATATCTCGATTAGTGGGTTGTACGGTTGGAGTCTACACTAAAGTATTTTCCACTTACTAGAGCGTAGGCTGAAGTAACTACTAACTATCAATCAGACTACAGTAAGCAGGCTAAATCACTTCAAAACATATGTATACCTCAAGCACTCTTCATTTTTCACTCTTCATTTCTGATCTTCCTCAACAAGCTAGCTTAAGCTTGTACTCGACGTTCTGTCTTCACAAGATCCATGAATCGAACCACAGATGCTTGGATATAATAACTCGTATTACGTTCATCTGATGTCTAAGCCTCGATGGTTCGGACTTGATGTATTTACTATTCGTAGACCGGGATGTGTTAAAACCGCTACATGTCCAATTTAGCTCCTCCTCTGACGAAAACTCATCTCATACAGTAGGTGAGGCGAATATTGATCTATTCTTCAATAATCATCAGATTTTGTTGATAAAGGGAAGAAACTATTAAGTCTGCTACTGTATTATCTGCTATAGATCGGACTCGATGGTAACTGGGAGTAACTCAATGGATAGATCTTGAGGAAATAACGATGGTTTGCTGATTGCTAGCCGAGTAGTTATATATATACTTATCTATGACTACTCGTATTACCTTTCAATCTGACCATATATTGATATTTTCTTCTCTAATCTAGAACTTGAAATTCGTACTATGCTCTAGTAGAGTAGAGTCAAAACTCGAATACAAAAAGATATACAGGCAGAAAAACCAAGTGTGCTAGCTCAATCTCGTGGCTGATAATTTAGCATTACAGATAGATGCATGGGAAAGGCTATCTAGCGAATGCGATGGGTTTGTATATCTACTTGAGCTGAGTAGCTGGAGCAACTGGAGCGAAAGTCTACTTTACTAAAGAGTTTGATTGATTCGGGTGGTTTTCGTTAGGCTGCGCAACGGGTACCTGCGGGGCGGATTATTGGCCTGGCGGGTCCTCCGTTTGCGGGGCGGATAATAGAAAATCTGAATGAGGACCCGTTGGGTATCCGCTGCAAATACTCCGCAAATACTCCGCAAATATAAATTTTATAATATTATAAATATTAATATAATATTAGTATATTTATAAAAATATATTTGTTTTTATATTAATCTTTATATTAATTATATTAATATTATAAAAATTAATAAATTTGCAGAGTATCTGCGGAGTATTTGCAGAGTATTTGCGGGGCGGATAATTTTGAAAGCTCAATGGGTCCCCCGCGGGTCTAAAATATCATCAACGGGTCCCCCGCGGGGCGGAGTATCTGCGGGTCCCCACGGGTAGCGGAGTATTTCTGCGCAGCCTAGTTTTCGTATCGTATCGTGCATATTGATATTCTGGGGGTAAAGTAGAGACCATGGGTTGGGTAGAGAGTGGACAGTGGAGAGAGGAGAGGAGAAATAATTTATTATTTCTAATCATCTTTACGACGTTATCTTTATTTGGCGAGGGAAATGAGGTTATGGACGCGGTTTATCTACATTGAGTGATTGATTGTATGATGTATGATTGAATATTGGGATGTGAATTAGTTCATACGGTTAGATGATGTTGAAGGGCATGGAGATATTATATGGAGTGTGGAGGGTGAAGGTTGTGGAACTAACTCATGGAGTAATTTGGATTGAGTATATCAATCAAGACGTCCAATGTTGTTGCTGTAGAGAATGGAGGTTGTTCTGATGATTCAAAACCATGGACTCTTTAATCATGATCAAAATTGAAGAATGTAGTGTCAAGTAAAAGCTTGTTGTAAGAAATGAACTAATTACATGGTACTGCTACAAAACATCGAACAAAAGCCTACGTTCGTTTGATTTAATACCCTGATGCCATCTTTGAAGTTTCAAAAACCGGTTTACCCAATCTACGACCACTGCGGTCTCATCTCAGTACCCTCAAATTCCTCATCCTCCCACTCACCACCATCATCACCTTCCCCCCCATCCTCCTCCCCATCACTCTCCTCCCTCCCCAACACCAAGCTTTCCAACCTCGCCATATTCATGCCCGTACCCTCCCACGGATCTCCCTCAGGCTCCATCTCCTCCCCCTCCCCATCACTCATATAACATTCTTGCTCACTCGGCTCCAAATTCTCCCCCGTCACCGGATCCACATACCCCCACAAAAACATCATCGCAATATGTTCCTTAAACCCCAACTCCCTCCTGGTCGCTTCCCGCATCACCAATTCATCAATCCGCATCAAATGTTTCTCGCCTTTGCCCCACCCTTCCAAATGTCCGCGTCCAATTTCTCCATAGGGAACATCGAACATGCCTTCTATTACATCTTCCGCGGGCCTAAGTGGCGCGTACGTATAGCGTACCATATAGGCTTGAAGTTCATACAAATCCGTAAAGCCGGTGCGAGACAAAAGACGAGAAAGAGGCGTCAAGCCGCGTTGTCCTAGCATGAGTTTGCGCAACATGTCGGAACCGGGTCCATCGGTGGGATCATTAAATCGCATGTCCAGTTTTACGATGAAGTGTTGGATGTTGTATAGATCTTGATCGGTGAAGAATTCTCGGTTGTGGATTAGGCGGACGCGGTCGAGGGTCGTGGAGATATCCATGAGGAACCATACTTTCTTGAGAGAATGGTTGGTGCCGGGTGGACAGCGATGATGTTGTCGCGCGAGTGCGGCGAGGATGTCTCGTACGACGCGGACGCGGTGGAGGACCATTTGATGGTATTTAAGACCTGGGACGCGACGAATTTGTCCAGAATTGTTGAGATGGCCCAGTGGGTCGAGCATGCTGAGTTCGCGGTAGAGAACAAATGGGTAGATTTTATAGCTATAAGGAGCTTGGTACTTGACGATGGTTTTGATAGAGTGAGCCATCCAGCCGGAAAGAGTCTCGTTGAAGGGTCTAGATATGCAGTAGAGAGCGAGAAGCTGTTTGGGCGAGAGGTGGCGCATGAGCTCGAGTATGATTTCGGGGGTCAGAAGGAGAGATTGATAGATATTGAAGGGTCCTTCGTTTCTTCTAGATTTATATGGTGCCTGTCTAGGGACTTCTTCAATCTCTTCTTCGTTGGCGAGATCTGGGGGAAGCGGGAAAGAAGCTGGCAAGATAATACCAGTTGCTGCGAGTTCAGGGTCTGCGATCGTGGACTCTGACTCAAGTTGAATGTTATCGAAATCATGTGTGACGTCGGCACCCCCAAAGATACTATCTTTATCTTTATCATCGTCATCGATTGCTTCTGCATTGGCATGGGGTTCAAGGCCTAGTTCTTCAGCTAGACGTGTTGTTTCTGCAGAATCTCCAAATAAAAGGTCTTCTACATTATTTTCTTCAGCTGAGAGTTCGAAGACTTTACCTTTGCCTTTTTCTTTGCCTTTGCCTTTGCCTTGAACTTTGTCCTTGTATTTTTTGGCCAACTGTTTTTCATCCAATTCTTCATCTGAATCCGCGGCTTTACCTTTGCCTTTCCATTTTTTGAGTGGACTTTCGATTTCCGTATCGTCGACTGAGTCGATAGCTGTTGCTTTTCGTTTTCCTTTGCCTTTCCATTCCGGCTTCGCTTGATTCGCCTCGTTCTCACCAGGAGATCTGGCCTCATCAATATCCAACATCTCACTATCTTTATCATGATCATGATCATGATCATTCTCTTCAGGAATCTCCTCCCCTCTTTCCTTCGCAGTCTTTCTAGCAAGCATCTTCTTAACCTTTTCCGCCATCATCTTCCTATAAGCTTCCTCCTCCCTCCTCACCTCCTTCTGATCAATTCTCGGTCCATGCGTCAAAACCTGCTTGACCCATTTTGGCACACCTTTCAACTCTTCATCTTCCTCGCTATCCTCTCCATTTTGATGTTCGTTTTCGTCTTCATTTTCACTCTCATCATGCTTCTCTCCCGCGTTACACCAAATGCTCGACTCATCTTCCGCCATATAATATCCCTTTCCATCCTTATGAAACGTTCCCCGACACTCACAATCCAATCCATTACCCACCTTCCTCCGCCTAGCCTTATCCCAATCCATAATATTTCCCTGCGCATTAAAAGCATCCGGCGCGATACTCCAAACTCGATTCCCGCTACCAATGACTGGCGGTGGTCTATTAGGTGCATTATTGGGATTTACCTCATTGCTAGGAAACCGAGGTGTAGGAGAAGGAGGGATACCGGGAGGTCGTGGTATCGGGTAAATATTGGGTGGTGGGGAGGATATTTCGTCGGAATGAATTGAGAAACCATCGGAGTCAACTTCGCCCTCTTGTTCTTGTTCTTCTTCGGCCTGCTGCTGTTCTTCTTCAGGCTCTGATACCTCCTCTTGCTGTTCGTCGTCCTCGTACTCTTCAATTGGTTCGGCTGGTTCGACACCATTGTCAGCAAAGTTATTCGAGTGATGACCATGGGAGGGGTTGTACTCAGGAGGTAGACCATGGTGATGGAACTGCTGTGGCTGTCCAAAATGGTTGAATTGCGAACCTTGATTCTGTTGAAGAGGGTGAAGATGATTTGCCATTGGATGATGCGGATGTAGATGAATAGTGGGATCGAACTGGGGTTGTGATTGCTGGCTTTGAACACCACTATTATGCTGAAGAGGTGGAGGTTGAAGTTGTTGTCGGAGTTGTTGATTTGTCACATTATTACCTGCAGAAATGATCTGTGCTGAGCCTAGAGGTACATAGGGAGTAGGATATGGTTGGATAGGTGCATTCATGTTTAGCTGAGAATAGTCTTGTGGATGTTGACCAAATACAGGCTGATTCGGATTATTATTCGAGCCAAGGACAAGATGAGGTGGTACTGGTGGGAATGCAAGTTGAGAGGTTTGATTATTCATTGAAGGGCCTGATGTAGCATTTCCTTGGGATTGATATGGGTTGGAAGTGTGTCCTTGGCCGAATCGATTTGACCAAGCTCGTCCCTGTCCCATTCCCTGATTCATAGCTTCATTCCTGTCCATAGGATGGTGGGTTACAGTAGAACTTGAAGATGCTCGAGAGGGTCCAGCGGACTCGGCTTGTCCTTTCAATTGCGTTTCTTGTGCTTTCTTCATCCTGAGAAGCTTGAGACGGTCCATGAAAGTTTCTACCTCGGCAGGATTGTCGGGGTTCAGTCCAAATTCTCGCATCTTCAGAGCAACGCGTGGATGTACTGGTTGTTGGTGAGCAAAGGCGTATGATGGATTAGATGATCCAGGCCGAAGAAGGGTAGTGTTGTTCATCATTTGAGTGTCTTGCATTGAGTTGGATGGTTGGAAAGGGTTGTTTGGTCGAAGTGCTTGTCCACTCTGCATTTGATTCATGTTGGCTTGTGTTGCAAAAGAGGAACCATAGCTGTGATTGCCGAGTTGATTTCTGTTCATCGATTGTGCCATAGTAGACATGGGTTGGAATTGAGTATTCATTGAAGAGCCAAGATGAGACTGAAAGCTATCATTCATTCGTGGAATGTGTGGATTATAATCATGTTGGAGTATCCGTGGATCACTAAGACCCTGAAAGTTATTTGCTGGAGGATTACCAGTCATTTGATTATTGAAGTTTGATTGCTGCATAGCCTGAGCCGACATATGGTTTTGAGCATTGTTGTGCATAAATTGCTGAGATTGCATACCAGAGTTTCCGAAGGCATTCTGATTATCCGATCGAGGTTGATTCAACATGCTCTGAAAGCCAGATTGAGGATGGCCATGCCCATTAAATTGAGGATCTCCACCAAATTGCAAAGTTTGGGGAATTCCTTTTTTAAGGTTGTTTGGATAGCTTTTGGCTACCTGTTGATGGAATGCATTTGGCTGCGACTCAAAATTTGCATTCATCTGATCCTGGAATCCAGTATCATTTCCGGACAGATGGAAAGGAGCACTCGGTTGAGCTTGGTGATGAGGCTGATTGATGGACTGAAATGGTGAACCGAAAGAGGTTGGATTGTGAGAGGTGAATTGGTTGGCAGAACTTGGTCGGGGAGTCGCATCCGGATCATTAACTTGGGACTGGAAAGAAGTTGGATCTTCTGAAGATTCTCCATCATCTTGCATTGGTTGATTCTGTTCATTATTGTCTGGTGATTCTCCATCACTGATATTTGTTTCCTCATCATTTGTGCCAAATGATAGACCGAGGCCGCTGCTGAAGTCCATCTTGGTATGGTTTATCCGACAGATCGATAGATCGAGGATGAGAAGATTGGTGTATGATGAAAATTAGGCTGCAAATAAAGTATTGATTTTGTGTATGAAGAGCTTAAAGAGTAGAAATTGAAAGGGTTGAAATGGTTGTGATGGTTTGTTTCTGTACAGTGAAAGGTTTTGTGGTGGTTGTGTGCTTGAAATTTTGTTTGTTTATTCTGCCGATATTGTAATTCAAGTATGGCACAGGAACTTCACCGAGAATGATACGATACACTAGTACCAATCGATCCGAGAGTGAAAAGTCTTGCAAAGACCTCGGCTGTTCGACTTTCATCAGATCTCTATCAGTATTAAATAAAAAAGGTGAATTTACACAGATTAAAGTGTTGATATGACCAATCAACAGCCCCCCTTAGAGCTTCACCTCAACCTCGCCTAATTAACCCTTTCCTTTCTACCAAACCACCAAGATGTACGTTTTGCAAAATACTTGTGTTTTATAACATTGTAATCTGAGAGAGGAAAGGCCAGAACAAGAATACATAGTACGCAGTTTTATAGATCAGAAAAGCAAAATATATCACGGTTCTAGTGAGCCCCTATGGTGACCTACTATGGTTTTCATCATTGCCTCAAGATTCGGTGCTTTCAATGCATTGAATGCTTACTTAAATCATGAGCCAAAAACTCATATATGTATCTTGGCACTCAAAAAGCGCCATTCATGAAGGAGCAACCAATTACAAAGCATCTACTCATCTACAACCTAACGCCATGAAGTTCCAGAACCCACAGAAACTTCCCTTCTTACCTAGACGTACCTAGAATGAATTCTATTCGACATGTAAGTCAAGTATAAGCAAGTGTATATTTCAGAGCTGTAACAGACACGAGCATTCCATCAATCTTCAGGAACCTCTTCATCTCTCTCAAATATTCTCCTTCTTCCCCCATAATCCATTCATGCAAAACAGCTATCGCAAGTAGACCAACGAAATACTCATATCTAATCCAATCACTCACGAAACAACAGTACAATTTAAGTGATAGAGTCATCCACAACCTCAAATAGGCACTTAAGATGAATTAGGATCAATTACTTGCTTAAGTGAAGCACCAAGAGTCAGAGCCCCAAGAAGAGAGCTTGCGAATAAATGCTCAGACATGAGTACTATACTTCATCATCATTATCAAAGGGACCCTGATTTGTTATGTTACCGCATGCACAGCAACTTGATTATTGCTCGGAAACCTCATAAATTTTCAAAGACAGTAACCCAGTGGTGTTGTTGTATGTTGTTTGACTCTTACTAACAACATAATCACGCTTCATCCTCCACTGGATCACTATTTAATGCTAAGACTTGATCATAACATGATCTCAGCCACTTCCCTCATCAAGCACTACAAGTAGACACTGGTCATCTATCTGATAATCCAAGGTCTGACTTCTTGGGCCCATGCAACTCAAAATATTGTAAAATCATGAATTAGTCTATTGATCGGCTGAATCAATACCCGTCTTAGATGCATCGCTTCAACAGATGTATCTTGAGAACTGCTCAAAAGCTCAAGTGAGATGAATAAAAACGCCATCGCTAAAAAGACATCCATACCCATACCCATGCCATAAACTAACCAGCAGATATCAAATTAAGCAGCCTCACCACCCGCACTCCCTCCCTCACCCCCGCTCTGATCTCTAACCCTCTTCATCCTCTCTTCGGCGGCCTTCGCTAATATCTCCCTCCTACTCATTCCCTGGCCAGAACCCGAACCTGAGCCCGACCCCGTGCTCTCCGCACCTCCCGAACTTCCCACTCCCAGTACAAACTCCCCACCACTCCAACCACCATGATCATCCACATCCTCTCCACCATAATATTCCTCTCCTTCCCTAACAGCATGGCCCCCACTCCTCCAATCGCTGCCCTCCACTTCTTTTTCAATCTCCTGACATAAATTCCAAAAGTTTCGGTCATGGGGTCCCCATACATTATGCGCCATTTCATGACAGAGGGTTTTACGTATGGTTTTATAATCTCTATATCCATCGTATGCATCGGTTCTTAATCTCAATTCTATTACTTCTCCTTGATTTCTGTTGAGCCCCAGGGTCCGAGAGGTGCCTTCGTGATTGGAGGTTGTGTGTTCTGCCGGGTTCATTTCTGTGAGGAGGGGAACAGTGAATTTGTGTTTGCGCATCGCTGCTTTGATGCCCGCGTCATCTTTAAGTCGTTGTAGGAATTGGAGAGATTTGGACGGATTGGGCAAATAAGGGAGAGGTCGCAGAGTTTGAAATGTATATTGAGCCTCCTCCTGTTCTCTCTTCCAATCCCTCGTTTTATACGCAGAAACCTTCTGCTTCGTACTCGTCGGTCCGTTAATGGTACGAGAAGCAGCTAGTGAACCCGCAGCAACAGAAGATGCCTCTGCGATGGTGCTACCCATGAGTGTTATCTTCTTGTCGGAGAGGGCTGAAACCGGGAGAGAGGGATCTTTGAAGGGGGGTTTCAGGAGACCGAGCTTGGAGATCATGAGTTTTTG